TCCGTGGCGGCTGGCGGGTTCGTCCTGCTTTCAGTGATTAAATATATGAGGCTTCAGTTGTGGAAGTATTGAGGACAACTAGGCATTTCATTCATATTGTATGCCCTCAGGATTAAAATGGAAAATTTCTACCTCACTGCCTCCAGGATCGGCCCATTTTTTTTTGGGAAGAAGAAGACCAGACCTCCTAGACCATCAGATTGTAAGCTGTATCGTTTCAGTAATTTTTCTTTAACTTCTAGCCATTATTTCTTAAAAACAACCTAGCGGTAGGATTTCTAAGAACTAGCGATCACCCTGTTATCAAATTTAAGACTGTTAACCCATTAATATTTCTTAAAATACACCTTTGGAATCACTGTTTACACTGCGGCCATATTGCCACGGTTGTAGATGTTGAACCCCAAATTTGAAAATAACTGCATAATTTAGGTAAAGCAAAGTGCAAGATTCGAATTCGGTACATCTTCAAGATCAAATTGACACCAAAATTACAAATGTAGGCGAGATTATTGCTGAGAAATCGGGATTTTCATTTATACTTGGTATAGCACGGGAGGACACCAGTGCTTTCGTTCTTCTTGACTTTGGCTTGAACTTCGACTTTGTAAGTTGCATAGCTTGATCCTCTAAATTGTTGGAAACGTTCAGAAATAATTTCTCAACTATGTCTAACCCAGCTGATGACATGAATAAACCAAATGAAGTGGAGGGAGAGGGAGATGTTCACCCAACGCTGGAGGAAATACACCACAGCGTAATTAATTTGATCACTGATGACAAATCAAAAATTAATAAAGATACAGGCAGACAACTGCTCCAGTACTTCGCCCAAATGATGGCAATGATGGGTCGGCAGACCACCGAGAACGAGGTTCTCAAAGCTAAACTCCAGGAACGCGGAAAGGTGTACTCCTACGCGGATGCCCTTATGGGTCGCGTGGGAGAAGGAACACAAACAGCTCCGCTTCCGGCAGCACAGGCTGCGGCACCACAGACTGGAGAAACGGGGCCAACGATCACCGGGCGCCCGAAACACGCTTTGCTAATCTACCTTCGAACGCCGTCCACAAGCGCATCAAACGATATCAAAGTGATACTAAAAAAATACTTCAACCTGCACACCTTGGGTTTGACGGATGTCTCTCTGCGAACGATCCGAGACGGAATTGCGGTACAGTCTAACACCGCCAACGATCTCGAGCTCTTGTGCACCGCGATCGAGGAGCACCCGAGCACCCAAACGTGTTCGTTCTGCGTAAGCCCAAAAAACGCAGTCCGCAGTTCAGGGTGTCTGGAGTAGATCCGGACATTCTGCCTGCGGAGTTGCTAACAACGATTAATACGCAGAACGAGGGGTTGGAAATCTTACCACAAGATTTCCACCACCGTACGATGTATAAGGAAAAATCGGGAAACGTGACGCACATATTCGAGGTCACGGCCGTGGTCTACCCGAAGATCAAGGAGAAGAGCAGACTTCGACTGGGGTGGACCATGTGCGCCGTGACCGAGAACTTTTATGTGCAGCGTTGTGACAAATGTTGCACGTACGGACACACTCGGGCAAGGTGCTCCTCGAGAGCGGTGTTCTGCACCATCTGTGCCGGATCCCATGCGGCAACAGAGTGCCAGATCGTGAATTATGAAGAGGGCAAGTGTAGAGCATGTATGGTCCGTAAAGTAAAATCGAATCATCCTTTTGGTGCCAGTGAGTGTGGAACACACTTGTTCCACATCAACCGCATTCGTGCACAAACGGATTATCCGCAATAAAAAAAGAGAATATGAATTCGGTTTTAAACTAAACTTAAATTAAATGGCTCCAAATTTAAAAATTCTCCAAATTAATTTAGCTCATTCGCGTGCAGCGGGAGATAATCTTTCTCGTGTTGTGTTTGAACTCCAACCAGATATAATATTAATTCAAGAGCCTTATTATACACCCCATAATCATATAGTAGGATGTACAATGAATTACATTATATTTTCAGCAGATAAAAACCCACTTTGTGCAATAGTAGTTAGAAAAAGAAGATTAATGCCCTTTCCAATTAAAATAAATAGAAAACAAATAATTGTAAATTTAGATTATAAGGAGGAAAAAATAACATTGATTAGTATCTACTGTCCACCTTCGAGTAATTTCACGGAATTACTATTTGAATTAAACAATGATTTACGTAACTTACAATATAGTAATTTGGTTATAGGAGGCGACTTCAACGCAAAAAGTAGTATTTGGGGTAAACAAAGTACAGATCAACGTGGGGAAGAGCTATTAGAGTTTACACTGAATAACAATTTAATTACATTAAATAGACCGGATTCATTACCAACTTTCGAAACAATTAACGGAAAAAGTTGGATTGATTTGACTTTAACCTCATCAAATTTATTAACAGAATTAGTCTATTGGAAAGTACTCGAAACAGAAACATTAGCAGACCACAGATACATCTTTTTTTCATTATTTTATGAAAAGAGACCACCGTTAAAATTACTCACCAAGAAAGGAGAAATAAGAATAATGAACTCCATAAAACAAGAACGTTGGTTTCAACAAACAGGAAACACAACAATAACTTCAATATTTCAATTGAAAATAATACTAAATATATTTTACCAAAAAATAGCAGAATACAGAAACAAATTCATGAGTAAGATAGATAAAAACCAAAAGGCTCATCCATGGTGGAATGAAGATATAAACATAAAAAGAAAACAACTACGTGCATTAAGGAGGCAATACCAAAGATGTAAAAATCCAGTATTAAGAAACACTTTTAAAAATGCTTATTTCGAATTCCTAAAAGAATATAAAACAATGATTTCAAATGCGAAAAAAAAATCGTTTCAAAAGTTCTGTACAAATAATACAAAACAAAACACTTTCGGATTACCATATAAATTAGCTTTTGAAAAAATAAAACCACCAGTTATAATCCCACCTATTTTAAAAAAAACGGATCTTTCACCACAAACTTAGAAGAATCTATCACAGAAATCATGACATGTTTATTTCAAAAGGATGACTCACAAAACGACTCAAATGAACAAGCAAATATCAGGTTACACATCATTGAGGAACCAAATGAACCTGATGACTTAAAATTTAATAAGAATGAAGTTGAAGATATATTACAAAAATTAAAACCTAAAAGTGCACCCGGCCTAGACAATATTACAACTACTCTAATAAAATCGATTTACACTTTACACCCCAATTTTGTATTAAACATATTTAATAGTGCTTTAAAATATGGATATTTTCCTACAGAATGGAAAAATGCAAAACTAATTTTACTTAATAAACCAGATAAACCTTCAAATAACCCTCGTTCATATAGGCCTATATGTCTTAATTCAATTTTTGGTAAAATTTTAGAACGGTTATTAAACTCTAGGCTATATCATTTTCTATATAAAAATAAATTATTTCACCCAAATCAATTCGGCTTCACTCATAATAAATCTGCAATCAATGCATTATATCAACTTAAAAATATACTTATAGAAAATAAAAATGCAAACACACATTCTGTTTTAATATCTTTAGATTATCAAGGTGCATTCGACTCTTTATGGTATCCTTTTGTACTTAGTTACTTAAAAGAACATAAATGCCCATCAAATCTATATAAATTACTAAAATCTTTTTTTCATAACAGATCTTTAACATATGCTTCCTCAGTAGTAGAAAGGAGTCAAACATTAGAAATAGGATGCCCACAAGGATCACCAATAAGCCCATTACTCTGGAATATATTAATATCAGGCCTCTTAAATCTAAAATTACCATATCCAACTCACATACAAGCATATGCAGATGACACGATATTAGTTATTACTGGAAAAACAAGACGAGAAATTGAAACAATAGCAAATATAACTTTAGAAATAATTTCTCAATGGTCCACCGAACATCGTCTGAATTTAAATTATTCAAAATGTTACTGTATGTTAATTGCAGCAGGTAAACGCCTTTCCCAAGGAAGACCGCCTACAGTAAGGATTAATAACCATAACCTGAAATATGTAACCACATTACGATTATTAGGGGTTGTCTTTGATGTAAACCTATCCTTTATACCACACATAGAATATCTTAGAGAAAAAATATTAAAACATACATTAAAAATGACAACTTTTGCCAAAATACATTGGGGAATAAATCAAAAACAACAAAAAGAATTATATTTGAGGTGCATAGAAAGATATATAGTTTATGGTGCCAGTATATGGTGGAGAGAAACCCATAACACACATTTATTAAGAAAAGTAATTTCGCTACAACGGATACCTCTCTTAAACATCGCGCGAGCATACAATACATCCAGTAATCTCAGTCTTCCCATATTATGCAACATCCCACCAATACATATTACACTAAAAAAAGAAGTTAAACAATTTTTAATTTTCCAAGAAAATAAAGAAATAGAATGTAATAACCAATTATATAGTAAACAGAATACTGAATACATGTACGATCGCTGGATTTTACATCCCTCAAAAAAATTTAAAATAGAATTCCAACAAAACACAACCGTTTCCTGCAACCTACATATATATACAGATGGTTCTTTTTCTCCAAATAAAGTCGGTGCAGCATTTGTGGCCATATTACCAACAGGGACAATAGAAAAGGTATCACAATTTAAACTTCCCAATTATGCAACCATATATGATGCAGAAAGAATAGCATTCGAAGAAGCATTAAAGTATATATTAATTAATAAAAGCAATTCGGAAAGAATAGCCATACATACAGATAGTCTTTAACTCCTTCAAAATCTCGCGAACATCCAAACAAAAACCGAAACCATACATAGATTAAAACAATTAATAATACAAATACAAAATAAAAATACCATACATTTTTTCTATGTGAAGGCTCATGCAGGTGATGAAGGGAATGATCTGGCAGACCACTACGCGAAATTAGCACACTTTAATGGAAGAATAGTTTCTTGTCTTTATTCACAAAAAACCGTTAAAAAAGAATTAAATAAAGAAGTAAGGAGGGAATGGGATGATGAGTGGAAAAGATTGGGCAGAGAAAAAGAACTATTTACATGGATTCCCACTGTATACAACATACCGGAAATGTTCCCATCTTCACATCTTTTAACACAAATTATGACCGGGCATGGAAGATTTCCTTTTTATCTTTTTAGATTTAAAATAACGAATACTAATAATTGCTTTTGCGGACTTCCGACCGCTAATTTCGAACATTATCTAACTACCTGCCCTTGGACATTGACTTTCCGTAACGAATTAAACAAACTTAAATATACCGTATTCGATAATGCTACGAAATGGTCAATTTTGTCGAATGTCAAAGCCATAAAGGTTATGGAGCGGATGATGATGTTTATTCAGGAAGAGGTAGTAACCTAATTAAACACCAAAAAGGCGTTCAACAGAAAACAGCAGACAACAGGGAATGCAAGATGATGGCTGACAGGGAGGTGGCTTGGTTGACGGTTCATGGCGCGCCTTCCCTTATGGGTTGGTGGGGGGCTACTTGGTGCGCCACCCAGACCAAGAGTCGCCCGGTTTGGCGGATAAATATCTTGCGAACCCGCAGAGAAACCTGAAACCAAAAGGAAAACCTAATTAGAAACAAAGTTGTGGCGTACCATCCCTAAAAAGGTGGTAGGGGGCTACCTGGTGTGCCATCCAGACCAGGAGTCGCCCGGTCCGGCGGATGAAAATCTTCCGGACTCGCACGAAAAACCTTAAACAAAATTGCTGCTTTCAATTGAATTGAATGGGAAACATTCCTGCAACCTACAATTCAACATATTCTTCTAATTCTAACATCAACCCGCTAAGATACATCGAACCTTGCTGGCCACACATAAAAAGAAAGAAGAAAACATTACAATACTTAATTAAAAAAAAAAAAAACAATGTAAAGGGACAGATGGTGGATAATTCGATATGAGATATAAAATTTACAAGCCAGTAAATGTAACCCTTAACATTCTTTTTACAAAAAGAAAAAAAAATATATAACTTAACATTCTCCATGTTTCCAAATAGAAGAAAAAATGTAAATATGTAAATAATGTACAAATGTGTATACTGGGAGATCATGTGGATGGCCTGAATTCATAAACTAAGTATGAAAATAGAGTATACCCATCAAAACGGATCATTCTAAACTCATTGATGCAAGTGCTTTCACAAGTGTTACTGCCATATTCTCAAAATAACACATCTTTTAATGTCGTTATTTTGACCTTTAAAACCACTATTTCCCTAATTATCCTTGTACCCACCTTACATCAGTACATTATTGATAGAAATGACAAAATAATAAATATAGTTGAAAAAAAAATTTTTTTTTTCTAAATTATATATTCTTAGCTTATCGTAATAAATACTCCACCGAAAGTAACCACTCAAACACTAGCATAATCTGTTTTCACACACATCGCTAATTTTATTTCTCTACATTCGCACCATGTAAATAGCTGTACATAACCAATACGGACTTCACATAATAATTATTTCCTACTAACAAAGCATAGATTTCAAAATTATTCAAATTGTTTTGTGGCGCAATCTAGACAATATTCTACACTATAGTTACCCCACAACTTGACATCACACACCATTATAATTGTATATTTGTATTGTCTTATTCTCTCTCTATATACAGATATTTAGATCCTTTCTTTTTGCATTTATTTATTAGCGTTAACACTGATTCACCAATTATAACTATAAAACCACTTCTTATCTTGAAACACTCAATCAAAAATCAATTCACTGTACAAAACAAGCGAGAGCCTGGCGGTCCGGATATTCCGGTCACTGGGCTTGAATAAGGCTTTCTCAAAACATATTACTTAAAACTTTTTCAAAATTTCATTAGTGATAAAATTATTTGACCAAACCATTTTTCGATTAGCTTTAAGCTGACAATTACCAATAGCTATAAACGAACAAAGCAGGTGAACACATGAGCAGGTATATTTATGAATAAACATATTAATAGATTTACTAACTTATTTTACTTCTCATTTTTTACAGCTTACAATAAACCACAAGTTAAAGAAAACACCTCAAGCCAGAAGAAACAGAAACAAGACACAAGGACTGCAACGGGAAATATAAATCGCAAACTATAGAAAAGGAGATTCTAAGAATGCACTTAAAGAAAATAAAAAAACCCGCGATTTTTACAGGCCCGTTCAATTGCGAGGTTTCGCTTCTTCCCTTTTTGCAATTGGCAATTTTATACAAAAAAGGCAAAAGCAATTTAGCTTTATTTATTTAATTTATTATATTTTTTTTTATTATTTTTATTGGTTTAAACCTGTTATACCTCGAGTGGCACAGGTTGGAGAGAACTTTATTTTTCAGTCTTGTTTCCACTCTCCACTTAGAATTCTGTCC